AGTGCAGTATCGGCATATGTGTGAGCACTGAAATGGCTCACGTAAGAGAAAACGCATACAAGCCTAAAGTAGTGGTCTACATGTCTAATGCAAACAAAGATGAATTCGATTACCACTCATTTTAATATTTCCAAGCCAGATATGCAATGAAGAAAGTATGAATTAAGAAGTCCGTCTTATTGTCTTACTATTTGCCTTGCAAATCCAGGTAAGAACCATTTCTGCAGCTGAGAGATATATCAAATGTAAGTAAGTACCCTGCTTCATCTCTAGTACTTAACTTGGAGCAATAATTTAAAATTTCCCTGACCGTTCAAAACAGTTGAATACAATTAACTTTTGGTACTCTGGCAAAGTGAATTCCAAGGCTTTTTCAACTAATTCTCTTCGGAGTCCCATTCCTGCTAGGCATAGTATGCCCGTGCCTAGCAGGAATGGGTAAGCCTGATCACACCACATGAAATCAGGCCTGTGGGTGAGGTCGATTTAAGTCGATGAATACTTTTGTCCAGTTTTCTCAAAGAGACGACATCAATAAGTAAATTTATAGAGAAGCGAGAAGCAGAAGAACTTATGGGGTGATGGGGTTCTTCCAAGCGAAACCAGTGCCTATTCCATTCCTTTCGATTGTATTTTTCCATTTCCCATGTGTCACTATGGAAAAATACTCGCGGTAAGCGTAATCAACATAAGAAATTGCTGACAGAAAGGCACATGCGGTTTTTGCGCCCAAAATCTGATATTTGCCCATTTCACACATACCACTAAACCCCACTATGATACTATTTGATTGATGATCACACTTTCCCTTTCCAAGATCATGCTTACCCCTAAAACGGGGTAAGTGTAATCACTTAAAAATTTGTTAAAGTTAAGTGAAAACGCTTACAATAATAAAATAGCTTTTCAACAGGTTTAAAATAATCATGATGGCTGTTTTGACTGAATTTCAAAACCCTAGCAATTATAGGCCTGGACCACACTTACCCCGAAGACGGTGTGTGATCCACTCGACCTTTCCAGCGCAAATGCAGTGTACGTCTACAGTCTTTAATGAATGAAAATACCATGATTTGAAGCTAACAATCTAACGTTGACGTGCACAAAAGTACTTCATTATATTTGACATAGGTAAGTTTTACCATTCATTCAAAAATGAAACTTTGGATTTTATTTTCATCACACTCACCCCGAATGACTTTACGTCGATATTTGGTCACGTTCATGTTTCAACGTTGAGTAAACGTCGAAATCTGGTGGATACATCTACTCATCGAGTTCGCTCGCATTCCGATGAAGAGTTGATGTTGAGGAGAGGGGAATATTCCAACTCATGACATTTTCGCATCCTAAGAGTCATTTGTCAAAATTAGAATAATTTGTAAGAATGAAAATTAATTACAAGGTCTATTGGAGAGGTGGAATGAACAGGCAAAGAACGTGTAACATCCATGACTGGTTCACCGAAGGAAACCCATCCTTGCATTTGTTTGAGAGAAGAGGCTGCTCGTATTTTCACTTGTGATGACAATAGAATGTAGAACATTTTTTTGTCGGGGGAGGGGAGGCGTGGGTGTGGCCTCCGCCCCTAGTCAAGTCTTATGCGCCCGCTCTGAGAAAAATTTGTTTCCCTTTCGAACTTACATATGGAAGTCAGCAGGGCTCTCCTCTCTCTCTCCTTCGTTAAGCACCACCACCGCCCACCTTATGCCTTATTTAGTCGACTTGTTCGTAGACACCACTCGGCTGCCGTGATCTCCTCGGTTCATGATTCAAATTTCCCCTTTGAATAGAGGCCCTTGGCTTTCGTGTAGTCAGAGTGACAATAATAGGTAATATATTTACAATAACTATGTTTTTCATACGGTAAATTAATTTATTTTAAAAATCCCGAAACCAATGCGCCGAACGGAGAGGCTCACTGCTAAGCAAACAAGAAGCACTCGAGGAACATTTTCGACCCAATCGTGCGCATGTGCAAGAAGACCTTAAACTGAAGCCTACTTTGTGAGGACAGGGCGCCGTGGGTCTGGTTGCCTGAAGGTCGATGAGCTGTATGAAGTGAGGCCTGGGAACGGATTAGGTAGTGACCTATGACCATGTTTTCCCTAGGTAATTTCTTAGGTAGGCTTTTATCTGTAGGCTGAGTGTCATTAGATGTCGAAGAACTTTTTGACTTCAATTGGCTTTGATCGGTTAGTAGCTGCTTCGATGAGGTTCTTACGTCGGGTGGCTGACGTGGCGGGCCGTGATCGGATGCACAACTTCGTCATTCAAGAGAGCAGGTGCTTTTCTCCGCGTCGAGCAAGTGCTTCTCAACTTTGAGACTGATTATCATCTGTGATGCATCCCTAAAATTCGACAAACCTAGAACTAATACTTCGAACTTACGTAGTTTGTCCTCTTGACCAGGTGGTTTTCCTCATTTTTTTATTTTTTTATTTTTTATCTTTCATCACTAATACTTCCTCCCCCCCTCTCAAATGACAACCTGAACGCAAAGGAAATCAACTTGATATTGAATCTTGAATCTTGAGAGGTCTCAGGTCAGGTGGTTTGAACATGTCTGCCGCATTCCTCTGAGAGACCTTCAAGAGGAGTATTCTAGGCCTAGTTGACCGGCAAAAGACCGGTCGGTAGACCTCGTACAAGGTGGAGCGATTACGTGGCTCGGCTATGTCGCGAGAGGCGAGGCATTCCACCAGCTGAGGTGGAGCCCGTTGCCTAGGATCCAAATCATTGCGGGACGTTCCCTGGGCATGCTCAAACCGCGACCCCAATAAGTTGGGATAAGCGGCATCGAAACTGTATATCGTGTATGCAGTTCGGAAAATGACTGAAGAATGCCAAAAAGCTTGTGAAACAAAGGTAAGGGGGATCTACCTGCGCAGGATTCAATCGGCATTCATTTTTTTAAAAATGTTTTCTGTCTCTCATAACTTCGACAGCTAATTGTCATCAGACGGAAGACAGAGTGGAGAGCAAGAGATTAGTCATCAGATGAGGAGATCTGTTTGAGCTACTCTTGCTTCATTGATTTTGAATGTGTGGATCCCTTTTTTTGCCGGAGTAAAGCATGTGTTATCTTTAATTGTGTTTCCTTCCATATTTTTCAATTATGGTTTCACCAAAATTATGAACAAAGAAGGCTGACAGAACGCTCCAGGAAACGTTCTTTAATAAATATGCTGACAACGTGGAATTTTTTCTCACAACGTGGACGACACTTTTTCAAGGGAGGTTTATTCCACGAAACAAGATCGAAATAGAACTTTCCGTAAACGCTCCTTCAACGTCTGGCGTAGACTGGGTAAACATGTAAAGGAACGCACATGTTTTTGTAAGCATAGACGTTCCAGGGAGTAAGGAAAGAGTCCCGACTTTTTCAAGGGTAAAACAGCAGTCGCATTCGCTGTCGGAGGAACCGGAGGTAGCATGGAGTTTAAACTTTTGATTGCTTATAACTCAGCCTGGGTTGAAGGTTTTCGAATCTGATTGCACGGTTCACATCTACTGGCCGTAAGCTTTCGAACGATGCACATGCCCGGACATCTATTTGTATTTTTAACGTCGCAACGCGGCTTACCAACGAACATACAGTGTTAGGGTATTATACTAGTATATAGAGAATATTCCAGGGAGCAGGCGTGAGGGCTTCCGTGAAAAACAGTGGAATTTTCCAGGAAATGCAGGAATAATTTTCAGCGCATTGGCGGAAATCAAGGTTTACATGTTCTTAGAAAGTTGTGCTATGTAGAATTGGAAATTTCCGAAAAAAAATTTCCAGTATCAATGATTGTATCAAATTCAACGTGTAATCGGTTGAAGAAGTAAGTGATGAATGTTACGGCAACACTGGCAGGCCAGTTCGTAGAAGCGAGCAGCGGCCTTGCTACGTCATGCCATGTGGGCCAGTCCATGCCAGTCACGTATCGAAATGTTATGAATTTTCTCATGTTGGTTGGTTGTGGCTTGGCTCAGTTCAAAGGCAATGTTTAAATGAATCAAATTAAACGAAGCAATTGCAATGCAATTAAAGGCGCAACACGTCCCCCTGTAGGTTTGTTTTATGGAAAAGAAATACTATAATAAAAACGCTTTCAAATAATTAATAAAATAGAAATTAAGCAGTTGAACCCGTTTTCATAGGAGAACATATTGAACTGAGCCAAGCCACAACCGACCAACATGAGAAAATTCATAACATTTCGATACGTGACTGTAACAGAACGAAACCCATGTCGTTGAATAGATCTTGGAATGCTCTTTCATATGACATATAATATATATATATACAGTATATATATATTTTTTGTATCAGAATCCCCACATCGTAAAAAAATGAGGTCGAAGTTCGCTAAAATCACGAAAATTGGGATATTCGACTTTCATTTTCGACATGCGGAGATGGAAAAATCCAATGGTACATATATAATAAAACGAGCCAGAGGTGGACTCTTTTCACTGCGATTTTGGTTTTGTTACGTTGACTCCCACAACAATGGGGTGGTGAAATTATAAGAAATTAGTACATTTTGAAAAAGGATATGCAATCAAGTTTCAGAAAAACCCTTGGTTCGTGGTAATAATTGGATTCTACTATTTCAGACCTTTCATATGAGTTATTCCATGCATTTCTAGCTGGCATAGTTTGAGGGTTATGAAATTCGCCTGAGGGATCACACGTGCTTGAAAACCAATATTTTCGACATTCATATATCGCGTACCAATGGGAATAAAATTAAATACTTAGGATTTTGGAGTTTCATGTGAGACTGTTTAACTCTGGAAATTTTTTTTTTTTCTGAAATGGTCGAGCGTCATCCCTCGGTCAGTTGGCATGGAATGGCCCTTGTGACACATGGCCTCCGTTCCACTATCTCCTTCTCCCGTCCGACCTTCATTGGGAGCTAGGTCTTCAAGCTGGCTGTGAAATCGTCTCATCATGGTTTGTACTATGTCTCGTACATTTCGATTCTACTTAGGCTGTGCAATGAGGAAGGGGCGAGTTCGTTCAGAGACGAGGATCATATACAGTGCATGCGCCTAAGCTTGTGTCGTCGTGAGCTTCGTTCAGGCATCGTCTCATCCGCCCGTTGCCGACACATTATCCGTTGATTGCAGTATGCAAGACGATTGGAACTTGGTCCGTGGTGCGTGTGTTACTGCTACGCGTTTGGCAAGGATCATTCCCATGCAGTACTTTTAACATTTCTCCTCTATTGTCGGCTGCAACCTATGATTATTTCTGCAACCTATGATTATTTCTATTTCTTCGTTGACGTTTACTATACAGTATAAGATATTGGCAACATGTTAAGCTTAGTCCTCTTCACTGAATTAATCAACCTAGGCCCTCTTCTTTGGATATGTTTTAGGTGCTAGTCTTCTATTATTCCCGTAACGACTTTCCGATCGTTTGTCACAGCTCTCCGTGTTGTGATGAGCACCTATGTAAGCGTTAAGTGTGAATGAGAATCCACTCGCTTCCTCATTTTCATCCGTCCTTCGGTTGCCAAACCCTTGGCTCGCAAACTCCTCGTAACCCTGAAATTCCTACGTGGGACATTCCCTAAAATCGTGTTCTTGATAATTGGGAGTCTGGCCTCTCGCTCCCAAAAAAAAGGCAGGTGTCACGTAAGAGTGCTGGCTGCTGCTGCATCTAGCATCAGCTTCCATCCCTGACACACACATGACGCATACGGGTGCGTCATGCGAATTCCAAAATTTCCCGCTGCGACATCCTCATGATTGTTGGTAATTTTTCTGATATTCGGCGGATGTCGTACCGCTACATGGTTCCTGTTAAAGCTCACTTGTTGTTTCTCTATATACAGATAAATTATCCTGCCTGTTGCAATCTCCCCATCAGTAGTCATGGCGTCGAACAGGAAGAGTAAACGTAGTGTTGAAGAACGTTTGGTCAGTAATTTACTGTGAGAGCGATTCTGACTTTGAATATGTGTTGAGTAATTCAGAATATGAGTCTTCAATTGCGGAATTCGACTCTTCGAGAGTAGATGTTAGCGGAAATTCAGAAAATGACTCTGGTGACTCCGGTGACAGCGATGACGGGGGTGGAGACGCAGCGGCGGAGATGGCAGTTCTGGTAGTGCAAAGTGGGCATATGAAGAACTGCTTCCAGAAATACCATGAAATCTTGTAGAACCTCAAAGCTAAGTGCTAAAGTAGACACAAAATAAGCCGATTGGTCAAATAACGCTTTCTTTGTAAAATAAATCATGACTTTTGTATTTTAAAAATGTAGGTGTATCAGAGCTGCGCTTAGATTCATTTTCTGGTGTGTACAAGGGGACGCTAGGGAACTTCCCTCCCATCGTCCTGTAAGTTCCGATTCATTGTCGGATTTGGTTTCCTGCTATGGTCGTGTCTTCGTGTCTTCCCATGGGGTTTCCCGTCTTATCCGGGGAGTTCTTCAATTGCGTTCCTTACTCTAAAGCGTCTTTTCTCCGCTCTAACTGCTGCAAGAAAAATCAAATTTAATTTTTACTTCGCGTTTTTGCCCCAAGAGTTCTCGCGATTTTTGGTGCCTGCCTATTACAGAAAAGTGACGACTATTCTATTCGCACGATTTTCAGAGCCTTTCTTGATGCTTCAGGCAAAGAAAATATGGATTTTTGAAAAGAAAACTATCCGATAATGCTGCTTTAGCTATCAGTTAATGCTGATATTTCCTGTAAATAAAGCAGCATTATCGATATTTCTCTGTTCGAATATCCACCCTGAAACTCGTTCTCATCCTTCTCTCTTCTTGAAGAGAGTTTCATGAAAGGACGAACAATTCATACATCTACCTAATGTACCTTTCGTTGTCTGTGCGGCTGGGCCGCCGGTAAGCAGTGCAATGTAGATTATGTATGTGAATGGGGGCGTGAATCGTTTCAGAGCAGTTATTTTTCCAACGGAGAGTTGAAACTGCCATGTTTTTAATTTCCCCTGAATCCGAAAGGAAAAATGACCCTCAACAGTTTCCCGAAGCATCATCATGACCTAATTTTGGGGATTTCGGGGCGGGGGGGAGGGGGTGAATAGACCTACAGTATATCATTCGGGTCAGAAACTAAAGGTGTCGGATAGCTTCCTCAAAGTGTCAATAAGAAAAGTTCCGAATCATCATGAGGGTCTTTCCATGCGAACTCAACCAATATTAACATAAAATGGTGCACGACCATCTCGGATTTGGCGATAAAAGAATTTCTCAAGAACTGCAGTCAATCCAACAAGCCCGTAAAAAAAAATAAGAAAATGAATCGGTCCAATCAGATTAGCGGTTAGTAAAATACGAGGGTCATCCCAAAAGTTCGAGAACAAATGTGAATATTTTCATTGCATGTGATCCGGTAGCAACGGTCTTATCATAATGTTCATATTGATGTCTCATGGTGCTAACGTAGGAATTATGATGTAATTGCTCCTTCCTATTGGAAAGATATAGCATTTTTTAGTAGACTAATATTTTACAAGTAGAGTAATATTTTACCACTATGGAAGAAGATGATCGGGTTCAGCGAGGTGGGATTTGGTTAGAGAAAAGTCACCGGCCCTTATTGGTCGTGAGCTGCAATAAATTTACGGGGGACTGAACTTTTGGCAAAAGTGCCATAAAGAAGTGGGTGCATCGCTTTGAAACAGAATGTGATACAGTGGATGATTCGTCAAGGTCCACCTGACCTTGGAGCACGCTTAGAGCATGTTCCCACTGTGAACCAGTTGGTTCAAGTGAACCCAGCAAATTGGTTTTCTGAAGGACTCGAAAAGCTGATAGAACGGTGGCGGAGGTGTGTGCAGTTGCGTGGGAATCATATCGAGAAAGTTCACTCGAAATACTGCTGCATTTGGTGTTTCGAGTTCATGTAGAATAAAATCTCGAACTTTTTGTGATGACCCTCGTATCTCCCCCCGAGCTTTGGGGGAAAACGGAAAATCCCCATGAACGGCAACATTGCCATCCCATGAACTGCTCATCTTACGGAGTCTTGCAATAACTTTAATCGGAGCTCTTTAGTTCGTCAGCAATTCACTCCATAATCATTGGAGTTTGAATGAGATTTCAGCTTCAGTGCTGAATTTGAGAATGTGAAATTCACACAAATTTGCCCCCACATATCCGAATGTGGTGAGAGAAAAGACAAAATCTCTCATTGCGGTAAGTTGCACTCTTGTTTCACGTGCATCGATGAAGCAAGTTACTTGCTCACCTTTCGGCCCGCTGCATAGAGAAAAATTAGCCTGAAAATTTTAATGTTCTCATTTTGGTCATATTTGTTCGAGTGTCGGAGTTCGGGTATCGAATATTGTGTCGGCGCACTTGTTGTGTCATGAGTAGTGTCATTGGAATGGTCAGCTTGAAATCTTCCCAACGATACATTTTTGCTTTTCTCATTGCTATGTCTTGATGCATTGTGCGTCTCACTCATTCTTTCATCTCGTCCTATCTGATTCATCCAATTTATCTTGTACTCTTATGTCCAGCGCCAAAGAGCCATCTGTTACGAAAACTAAATCCAATAAAGCGGCACTTCTGGTCGGTTCTTCAGTGTGCTGCATTCGGAGAGCTTCTTGGATCGCTTTGAAAAGCTCCCTCTCCGTTCTGCTATCCCCTTACCCCACCGACCAATTTATATTATGCATGCTAAAATCTCCAAGGAGTAGAACCTTCTTCGATCTTTCGCCGATAATACTCACAGACGCATTAAAAGTGATCATTCACTCAGCGAACTCATTTTTAAAATTTGTTTCATTACACACTTGTATAAGCTTACCATACAAGTTGCACAGGCTGTTGTGGTATTGTTGGAAGCAGACGCCTGTTAGGAGTCCTACTCGTTCAAAGCAGTTGTAAATATGAGGACATGATACAGTTGAATTTTGGATGACGGGAGAATTTGACATTTTTATGACGCATCCTGGTGCGTCACGTGTATCAGAGAAACGGCGAGTCATGAAGCAAAGAGGTGCGTAATGTGTAATCAACGAGTTAATTAGTGCTCCCCCTAGTCTCAATAATTATAATGACGTCGTAACCAATATCCGGAACTTTCTTTTGCAACTCGTTTCACGTCGCAAGCTGCACACATTCTCGTGGGAACATTTGAGTCGTTCCTCAATACCAATTTTTTTCGAAGTATCGAGTTAAACGTAGCGGCTGTCCCTGCCAATCAGTTCTTACTCCCCACATACAATACTAAAAAAGACTGAAAATGCGTCACAGTTGGGGGATTCCCAGTAGGAACTAAAAATCAACTCGCAACCCAGACAGCCTTCAGACGATTTTTGTATGGAGCAAAAAGGATGCACTGTTCAGAAGAATAAAGGACGAGGAAAGCGCAGAGAGAGTGATATCCACGCTCTCGGGACGAGTAACTTCCCATCGCTTCCAAACGGAAGGACGTTATCAAGAGGGCAGAAACACTTCAGGACATTCCAGAAAAGCCAAGCGATGTCTAGGCGAGAGGATGTAATTAATCACATCCTTTAAAACTGATATATCCCTCATGTGACGCACTAAGTCCATGGCGCATTCAAATTGCCAGGACCGAAAGCTTTAACCCGTTGACTACACATGAAGCACTTCTATGCGTCTCGACTCGCCGTACCTCTGATACACGTGACGCACCAGTGTGCGTCATGAAAGTTACAAATTCTTCCGCACACTAAATTTCAGCGATATCGCGTCTGCAGATTTGCAGCTGCTTTGAACGAGTAGGACTCCATATAGGCGTCTGCTTCCAACAATCCCACAACGTCCTGTACAACTTGTATGATAAGTTTATACGATTGCGTAATGAATCAAATTTTGACCTCACCTCGGCAATTCCTTCACATTTGGAAAGTACTAGTTATCTCATTAGATTCTGTGAGAAATACAGTATGTAAGGGCTTTTCCAGGAACTTGGACAAGGGAATCAAGGAAAGATGAAAGGCATCCGTCCCGCCTGCTGTTTTAAACAACACACATTTTCTTAGGAATGGTGGATTTAAAGCATAGCACAGTGGTCTAGAGTGAGTGAAAACCTGTCCGAAAATGCCTGACACTCTTTGGTCGATCTATGGGGGTGGATTCGTCAACATCAGCAAAAGATGTGTCTAATACTTACTCGATGTTGCATATATCTGACGTTTCTAATCATTTCCCCCCTTCCTTTGTCCGAATTTTCGAAGTTATCACCGTATCTTGAAAAATTTTCATTTCAGCCTTGTGATGTTATGTATTATTGAAAAGGTCTCGTCAAAAGCAATTAAATGGTGCAATGATGGCCATTATTTGAGGCCACTGTGCTATGTTTCTAGGAGGTTTCTCTCTTCAAGAGTTAGTTCGATATTGTTTAGTCAGGGTGAGAATTGGTATTTTATTCATCGTTTGCCTGAGCACATATCTTGGACATCAGTTTTCAGTAGTGCATACACGCAATCGGATGACTATGTCCCTCTGAGTTGGGTTTCTTGGACCTAGGGAGAGAAAAAAACGGCCATTGCGAGTATACTCGCGGATTCTCGCAGCTAGTTGCGGGTCACATGTCTACATTAGTTGTGCGGGAGTATGCCTGTCTTTTTATTTCCGGTCATCCATGGCCGTCTGTAATGAAATCGAGGTTGAGAATTAAGTAGGCTAATTTTACCGTCCATTATATAGATTTTCGTTCCTCGACAGTAACTGAAGGGTTTGGAGGGACCAAAACTCTCCTGTCTGACCTTCAGTCATTCTTGTTCAATGTGAGATTAAGGCACACTAACAACTATCAATAACCTGTGGAAAAATCAAGAAAAAATTTTAAGTTCACCGAGTGCTGGTGAAACTTCCCTCTTTTTTCTGTTTCGGAACGGCCCTTCTCCTAAGAGTCACAGGACGCAATTTTGCTTCATTGGTGTTGCCACGCACTTTTGGACATCTCAGGATGAGACAGGTTGAAAATGAACGATTTTTGAAAAAGCATTATATATTTTTGGCCAGGTTTTCACTCATTCTGGACCACTGTGCATATGTTTAAAAGGTTCAAAATGGAACAACACATCATAACCTGGGTAAATCAGCTTTAACACAGTCGCATTTTCACATATTTTGCCTTATTAACGTCGAGGACATTCTTTCATGAAATTTTGTAATAACACATGGACGTTTTCCTCCGTTCGGACAGATCATTTGACGTCTTCCCGAGGATTGAAACTCGTCTCGCAAGATAAAACACAGACATCAGATATCCTGTTCATCCCTTTCCCTACTTCATATCGGACGATGATCTTCTCACGCATCTTCTCCTTCTCCATCCTATACGTGGTGTCAGGGATGCTCGACCAGGCATGCCATACGCCAGACATCCTACCCTGCACCTGCCAAGCTGACTATACCATTCACCCTTCAGCTCCTAAGATGAGAGTGGACTGTTCGAGGGCCAACACAAGTAAAGAAATCTTCTCGGCACTAAACAATTTTTCCATCACCCAACTCTGGTCAGTGAGATTTATTTCCTCTTTCTGAGTTCCCGAACCTTACCCTAACTACAATTATCGTACACGTGAATTTCGGTCAGTGATTTTTATGTGCACACATGTGCTTCACATGTAACTCACATGTGACTCACACCTACACCATCCGCGTCACACATTACCCGAGAGACATTTTCGAGTCAATACGCTGAAGAATTAATTTTTAAAATAAAATTTTCAAGTTACTTAATTTCTTTTTCAGCCAACCCTCTAGTTCAATCTGACTTGCAACACACATTTCCTTCCGTTTGTAAAGAATTTAGAACAAACTGTAACCCATTCTTGGCAAATTTGTCCAACGTGTTGGTTGCAGGTGACTGGAGAACGTCTGTCTTCGAAGCGGCGGCTATTTATAGAAGGTACCTCATTTTTGGAATCTGCGTGAAATGGCAAAGTTAGAGGTACAAAGAATACGAAGAATGTGGGAGCAATGGCACTCCTCGATTGGTCAGAAATTCAAAGGTAGTGCATAGGTTTGAATTCTGACAGCCATTGCGGACAAACTCAGTTTCCTCGTTACTGCTTGTCAATTGCCATCCACTGCGTTCATCATCTCCAGTGGATGCCCACCTTTCGCGGAATCGCCTGTGTCATGCACACCAGAATCATGAAGATTACTTTAGCCTCAGGAAAACGACCTCCAAAAAATGACTTGGCAGCGAAAGTGTTGAGGATGTGTTTGCTTGAGTAGTTTTGGAGTAGACACCAGTGGTGGTTCGTGATATCCAGCAGTGGTGGTTCGTCTGTGGAGACAGAGGAGGCCGGCCTTCTCTGTCTCCATTCAAGAAATACTATAGTTGCATATCACGAACCGCCTCTGGTAGACACGCATTAAATGTTGATCTTGGAAGATGAGTGAAGCAAATCCTGTTCCCTAAGCTCGTCGCCGAATCGCTAAGTAGCACAAGCGCAGAAAAAGCTTTGATGCAGTTCAAAGTGTATGGTTGTTGGCTGCCAGCATGGCGTCGTGGGGAGGTGTGCTTTTTGTTATGCTTATGCTAATGTACTGGTAATGCAAAGACGATTCTGCATAATCCTTGCATCTCCTTTTACTGAATGATATTTCCAGAGCATCATGCGCCGATCATGGGGATGAAAAAAGTGCATTGGTGATGGAGTTGGAAAGTGGAAGCAATTTAAACTTTCTATAAATCGTTGAGAAAGAAACGTCCAAAACATGAAAGAGTGTCATTTTACCTTTCTCTAAGAACCGATCATTCCAGGAAAAATGTCATTATAAGTGAATTCAAGAAAGATTTTTCAGGCACATCAGCGACCTCAGCATAACGTCACGAGAGCTGACTTTGATCAATGTCTCCAGATGTTGCCACAGTTTCCCTAAATGAGTCAGCATTAGGAGAGGTCATTCCACCTTTTGGATGGAAGGAAGTGTAGCATACAGGGTACTTCTTTCATGCCTAAACTTGTTCCTCTATAGGATTAGCATATCCGTTTGATATCCCCACCTCTGTAATATGCCGAATTTATTTCAAAAATACCTATATTCATTTTAAAGCGCATTCTCCATAACTTCTGAATCTGGTTCTCCCAAGAAGTAGAGATCAAGTAATTTTTTCTGTAAATTTCACTCCTTTTACGTGTGGGATTGCAATTTATAGTGTTCGCCAGGGGTGGGCAAACTACACAGCAAATAATAAGGGTGGGAGTAGGGGGTGCGATGGTTGTGCAATGGGTGTGCAAGCACTTGGAGGTGCATCTTCACCTATGCGTGCTCATTCCCTCCCTAGGAGGCTCGCATAGCACTCTTAACCCTCTCCCGGTCCTATTCCAAAGCCTTGGTTCCCCGGATATTATCTTATTAAAAAAAAAAAGTAATCTGGATAAACTGTCGAAGCAACAAATACTAACTCAATTGTCCAACAGGTGAAACTAGGAGTCCTTCGGAAAAAAAGAACGCCTACGACCGGCTTGGCCGGGAGCGACAAGTTTTTCAAAAAGCTTTCTAGCGCTTTGGCCAGGAGAGGGTGTGTGCAGAGTGTGCAGGCTCTCCTTACTATCAGGTGGGTGCATGTGAGCACCGTCGAGATATGCATTAGTCCTTTCAACTGAAAGTCTGAAACCATCCTCATCTCGCTTTGCTCAACTATCTCGGTCATGCCAAGAGAGAAAGAGAGAGAGATCCCTGCCAGAGGCTAATCCTCACCCTAGGGGATACTCCGGCTCAAATACAAAAACAAGGTCGGACTAAGGTTTCAGGAGCTCCGAGGCAGAATACGCACCACCCTTGGCCCAATCTTGCGAAGGAGGGGGATAACCGATTATGAAATACTGTCGTCTCCTTATCTCGTGTTGCATCATATTCAGAGGCTTGGTGGAACCGAGGTTCCCCCTGGCCCCCGCATTGTTCGCCTATTCAGTAATCTGATAAGCATGTTATCCTTCTCTCCACTCGCCTTCATTAGGCGAAGCAGCTGGCTATTCTTGTAAAGGTAAGGTTACCGTTACAAATGTAAGAAGGCACCTCAGTCACCAACCCAGTGGGTCGCCTGTAAAGAAACTTAGCCACGCCTCTGGGATTTCTTACATGCAGTATCTGATATTTTTCCTTCTTACAGCAAAGCGGACTACATTAGAATCCCACGACATTATTATCTAAAGATGAAAGTCAGCCCAGGGAGACGTCTCGAAATACCAGCCCCTAGGAAGGAAGAAGAGGGATTCAGGCCTCGAGACAAACCCACGGCGCTAACTTCGAATAAGTTAGAAAGTGGGCCTCCACGGAAGAACTCAACTCAAAACCTTTTCCATTTCTTTATGAAGAGATAAAATCACATAGATATAGACGCGTATTAGGTACACAGGGAAACACAATGGTAGAAGTGATGCATCAAATTAAGGCCTTTTTACTCAAATCTCCATACACAATTTGGCGCATCAACAAAAGTAAATAGGCCGTAACTAGACCCATGTCAGGTACATAAAAAAATAGCATCGCGGACGTATCCTATACATCATTAGAATTGGAATTGCAGTCAATTAGAACATTACAGCATTAGTACGATATGTGTTCCCTATAGGGGAAGGATTGCACAACTCATGAAGGGTGAGAATGGAGGTTGACCTAAAATGGATTTCTCGAGGAAATGAATGGAGACGATTCCTAAGGGCGTGTGCTGCCTATAAAAAAAATTGATGTTATCTTGAAGAGAGGGGGAGAGAGAGAGTTGCATTTGCACCCGAGGGTGACCATGCAACCACCAAGGGTGCTGGACACCACAGTGAGCATGCTCACCCCTAGGGTGGCTGTCCAGTGACAAAGCATGCACGGCTCTAAGGGTGCGGGATCTCACCTTCATTATATGCTGTGTATGGCCCGCGACAGCATTTCGATCGGCCTGCCAGCAAACTCATTTTAAAAAAAACTGCGGGCAGTTGCATGTCCCACTGACTGTTGGTAAGTATTCCTACTCCTATTTCTAACTTCTGTGGCCCACGAAGGCTTATGTGTTTTCTCGTGAGGCCCTTAGGTTAGGAAGTTTGCTCACCCATGGTGTACGCTAAGCTCACCCAAGAATGTCAAATAATTTCCTTCCCAAATCTATACTTTCATCCCATAATGCATGGAAGTACCAAGAGATCTTTTTCCGGGGGGGGATATTCTTGCATGTGTTCGGACATTTTGACTTTACTCACCACGCGTCTCTTGCGCATCGAACGCAGTTCCCCTCGAGGACAACTGTCTGCAATGCCCGTCTTACCTTCTTATGGGAGAGGAAGGTGTCAGCTTTTTACTGACAAGAACAAAAAGGCTGTGCCTATTTTGCGATAGTTTGCGTTTTTCGTGTAAGCCACTTCCGGACGAACTTGTATTAATTATTCCGATAATCGTCCGAAGAATTCAAATTATGGTATCAAGGTCTAAAAATGATGCTGAATTGGTTTTCTTTCTACTTTCAGGGAATTCCGCGTGACTAATAACAAGAAGTTGCAAGAACTTCCTGAGGGAATCTTTGGTCATCTTTCCTTAGAGAATATATACTTGAACAACACCGGCGTGAGGACGATCCATCCATCGGTCATCCTTTCCTCCAAAGATCGGCTCGTGAACATGACGATCGAATACAGTCTCCTCGAGGAATTCCCGTTCCATCTTCTATCAAGCCTCCCTCGTCTCACAAAACTTCGTTTACCTCACAATTCCCTGACCTCGGTTCCTGCCGTCCGGACCGACTCTCTCGAGACGCTCAATCTTGAATACAATAACATTTCTATAATGGAAGAGGTCGGATGGGCGACACCCAACTTGAGGAAACTCTCCCTCAGTGAGTATGCGACAACTCGTGCAATAAGATGATTCATGATTATTCCTTAAATCCTCGCTCTCGTCTCGTCCTTCATGAGATCCTTCCGATCACAATAGAATCAATCCTCAAGAAGAGGCTGTGAGACATAAGCAAGAGTAATTAACTCACTCTAATATACTAGACGTTAGTTTCTTCATTGTTCATGAAAAGATCGTGTTTTCGTTTACTACGTTCACTCGCTCTCTAAATGTTCTTCAAGCCATTGCCAGCTTGATGAAGGAAAAGTCTTCTGATGTAGTTGAGACTGGCACGTGTACTGAATGCAATGGACACCGATAGGTGCTTCTGTTTGCATAGAGTATCAGAACAGCTTGGTAATCGAGCAGGGCCAAGATGGATTGGCAGGCCGCTGCGGTGGTTACTCTTTTTAAGGGGGACTCGAGGGAGTGCACCGAATACAGTGGAAGCACTAACCTCAGCATACCTGCCTTAGCCTAGATGTTGTAAAAGAAAAATGGAGCAGTCGGAGAAGCCATTCAAGGGGAGCAGTGCCAATTTCGCTAAGGAAGCAGAACCACTAAGGGTCACCTCTTCTCTGTACACTAGGTTCTCGAGGAGTATCGGAAGTATGCCAAAGAGATTAACATGCTTTGTGGATCTCGAAAAGACGTACGACCGTGCGCTTCCAGGGAAGCTTTCGGGAGTGCTACAGGGAGTATGAGATGAAGTCAGTCATTGCGGCTCGTACAATCCCCGTAAAGTGATAGCAAGAGTTGCGTTCGAACGAACGAGATGAGCTCGAAATCCATCTCGGCACTTGTTGGGTTACGCCAGGCTGCGTTTGCTCTTCTTTCCTGTTCCTCATGAATACTGAGATCCGAGTACTGAGAGGGTTGGATCCATAGGAGCTGTCTGGACCTCGAGGCGGTCATCATCGGTAGTATCGAGATAAGATACTTATTTTTGCCGAAGACACCGTCCTTTTGGTCCGGTTTCGACAGAACCCGCAGAATGTGCTAGGCTTGGTTCGAATCCGAATGCATTACTGCAGGAGAGAAACTCGGCGTCATGAAAACTCGCGTCATGGTCCTCCCGGAAAGTCCTATACAGTGAACCCTCCCCTCGTACGTCAGGGGACCCACTAGAACAGGTGAAGGAGTCCAAGTACCTGGGTGTCGGGCTCTCGAGTGATGAGGGATATGGAAACGGGATTGACAGCCTCATTTTCAATGTTTCTTCCATCGGGAACTTTGGCAAAAGGTGACTGCCAAATCTAACATTTGCAGGGAGGCGAAACGTTCGGCTATTTTTAAATAGAAGGTTTACCTCCCAAACTTCCCTAGCCGTGGCCACGAAAGGGGGGTTACGACCTCGAGAATGAGAAAACAAGCTGTCTCGAGGAGGTTCTCGATGAAGGTGACCTGCGATAATCTTCGTGTAAGAATGCGGACTGGCATCATCAATGAGTACCGCAAGGTCTCGGAGCTACACATCCGAATCGAAAGATCTCAAGCCCGTCGTTTCCGACGCGTCTCTTACATCTCCCCGAGAGACTCCATATAAAATTCGTCTCATCCAGCAGGTGACCATGATCCTTTTCGCCTCGTGCACGGTGGACAGATTGCACCGCGAGGCTTCATTGTGAAAGGTTCGGCACTCCATCTGCCGAGCGCGAGTCCTTCGGCGAGGATCGGGACCCTAAGATGGGTCTGAGAATGCCTTGGGTTTGCTTCAGCAAAGACCAGTGGCGGCTCGTGATATGCAGCAATAGTAGTTCTTGAATGGAGACAGGGAGGCTGGCCTCTTCTGTCTCCACTAACGAATCACTATTGCTGCATGTCACGAGCCGCCACTGGCAAAGACCCCATAAGTGGGGGTGGTCGGCAGCAAAAATGAATGGCTCACTCTCTACAGCGAGCCCATAATCGAAACGAGGTGAGCAGATGACTATCTCCAACCTCATGACTCCTTTCTTTTTTTCTTGCAGGTGGAAATCCAATTTCGACGCTGCCCTCTGCGATGATCAAAAACCAAAAGAAACTGGAAGAATTTTCTTGTTCCAAGTGCAAACTGGGACCCATCCTTTCAAATGGGCAGTTGGAATTCCACAGCAAGGCTTTGAAGGACGTCTACTTGAAGATGAATGACATCTCGAGGCTCGAGCCAGGAGCCATCACAGGTATGTCCCGTCATCCGCATGGTGTCGCTGAATAACGCCAAAAAGAATACCATCGACACAGAACTGCGTCGACGTCCGAAAAACGACGGAATGATGACTTAATGAACAGCGTCGACACTGAAAAAAGCTGAGACGGCAGCTCTGTGTCGGTGCTGTTACTTTCGACGTTGTTCCGTGTCAGTTTAAAACCGGGAGTCATTCGTCGAAGCAGCTCCGTTTGTCTATTTCTATCATCGAAATTCCGCAGTGATTGTATTATTTTCCAGCATTTCTCGTCGAGGTACTTCTGGGTCAATTTTATTCCCATCTGAGTTTTCCCATGTCGATGTTTCCCTCGTTGATATTCTGCACGGAAGACAGTGTTTCATGTGGCATTGCGCAGATGTCTCACAAAGGCCATTTCGATCAAAGCGCTTAATTACTACGGTATAGAAAAATGTGAACTCTGGGGTCTTTGCTCTGGAAGCAAGTGCCAAATATTATTTCCACAAGTACTTTCGATTTGGAGGTTCCAATTCACGTTAAATTAATTTGCTCCCATAAACAAATTATTTTAGTTCGGCTGACCAAGGGAGTGGGTTTTATTTGCATATATGTTCAATTTGCATATATGTTCTATTTACATGCCTAAAATCGCGAGAGTGCTTTCGAAATAATGGCCATTTCTATCCTCGAGTTGGAAGGACATTTACCTATTCTTGGAATTAGAATTGTGCTTCTCCCGCGATCACGTGGGTTTTCCCACGACTTTTGCACAAATTTTAGGGACTCCTCAGTCTCCAAATGTGCCTTGCACGTCCTCTCCTCACGAATCCCAGTAGCTCATTACTTCAATTTCCTAAGAAATTCTTTGTGAAACTCAAGTGAAGATTGCATATTCCCTAATAGCACATAACATTGAAACATAGATTCAATGTTACGTGCTACTAGGATTTTACGGAGAATTAACCATGCTACGCGAGTGAGATTTTGATTTTTAAGCTGCTTTTCCCCAGGCCAGCGTTCTGGATGCAGAGAAAAAGTTCATTGTCCAGATGGTGAACCGTTTTCAACACATTGCAGGTATCACATCTGGCACGAGGGTTTACCTTTCGAGCAACAAGATCGCTAAATTGGATGCGAAGTCTTTCCATGGCATACTACATGTCCTATCCCAGGGAGATGGAACCCTTGCCCTATCTGGTGAGTTCCACGTTAATACCGTACAACCTCCGAAGTCTCTTTTCCTCCGTTGATCTCTCTCATTGCAGCCCTTTTCCTTCATTTCAGACAACCCGATCCGGTGTGGTTGCGAATTAGAATGGCTGGTGCGCGATCCTGAATTGCTAAGAAAAATTCACGGGTCGTGCGAGAATGGCACCGTCTTGAAAGCCCTGGGTCGGGATTCCTTCAAAGATTGTCGCACGTGTCCTTACGAGTGTGTCGACGCTCAGAGCAAGTCTCTCTGCGCGCCAGAGACTGTAAATACCTCGAGAGCGGACGATTGCCTACCCGAGGAATCGTGCTGTCGATTAGAAATGCCAGGCACCGCCCTGACGAGCTCGGCGAAAAGTACGTGTCCCATCGGTTTCAAGTGTGTAAATGTCGACTTCATCGCCATGTGCGACCTGTGCAGCGTAAGCCTCTCCTTATCGTGTCCTTCCGCAAAGCAAGTCTGTTGTTGGATCCCGGAGAGGCCACCCTGTCCATCGACCCACTCCTGTCTTCATTCCTCTGTTAAAGACCTGTGCGAGAAGGAATCCGAGATACCGGGTGCAACGTGCGATGGAAATCGAGTCTGCTGCATGATGAAGGCTGTCACCGAAACCAACTCCACCTTGCCGCCTTGCGACCGGGAATGCGTCGCCGTGGGGGACATCTCGACTTGCGTTTCGGATACTCTCAAGTACAGAACGCAATGCAGCGAAAGGAACGAATATTGCTGCCAGACGGAAGAGAATTCGACGAAACCTTCACTGTTGCCCAAATCCAACGTCTCTCATTGCGAGCCTCACTTCGGTACTTGCATGGCGCCTTATCTGTCGCATGATTGCCGATCGAGTGGCCAGAGAGATCTCTCCGTCTACTTCAAATGCCCCGGAAATCTTGAATGCTGTGCCCTCAAGACGGACATCGAAAGGAAACCGGAACACGTGAATGCTGCTTTCTCTCCCACCCAACTTTTCTCTTCTCTCCATCTATTTTACCTTATCTTGGGAATAATTTCTTTTTTCCATATCCTTTAGTCTAAGTAGTCCAAACGCTGTCGTAGAACGGAAGAAATCAGCTGAAATGATTCCATTTCACTTCCAGGCGATTTCCTAATAAAGTAATTCCATTCTCATGCCGTAAAAATTCAAAGCACGTGTCCAATGTCTGGCTTTACTTTCCTGCATATATATGTTCTTGCCTGGCGTCAAAAGAATATATCAAATAATATCTGAAACTAATGAAAACATCGTCATTCGTCAGCTTGAGGCAATGCCTATGATTACGACTTACTTCCCCAATCTCACGTGGTGTTCATGATCCCAGAAGTCTCATGCATACTGTCATTTTAGGTGCCGACATGCATCTATATGGTATTTAAGGGGGAGGTCAAGTGTCATGAATCAGCTCACAAGAGCCATACTAACTGATGCAAGTGACCATAGAGCAAGTGTTGCAAGGCATATCATTTTTGAATAATGAATGCATCGTATTCATACCTCCACACTATGCCACTGTTACGTAAAATCATCAGTACCAGACACCTCCGAGTGAGTCAGAGTCCTCTACAATACGACTTGGAAACTAGAGGTGTTGGGTACTTCCCAAGGTATGAATATGAAAACGTCAATATTATCACGGGGATGTTTGCATCACCATGAACTCCTCAGAGATGCCATTCATAACTCATACACGTAAAGGAGCATTTTCTGAGGCTATTGCGGACTGCCTTTTCCAGGTTTACATGTTCTTCGTTCGAAATGTTTACCATGTAGAAGCGGAAATTTCCTAAAAACTGTTTCATTGTGGGAAAAATGCGTCCGTGAAAATGGTTTCCTTTGGGACGAACACTTCCTTTAGACGTTACTATAGTGGAAACAAACGCATGAATCGCTTTGTAGATCAATTTTCGAGGGAGAAGCATTGCATAGACATGCACATGGTTACTGAAGAAACACCTTGAAATGTAAGGTGTTTCAGTTTAATTCAGGTTAATTTAAGGTAATATTAATTGTAATGTATACAAAATGCAGCGGCAGCTCACATGCCACTAAATAGAGCAGGCATCAAAGCTTTTTTTCCCACGTGCAGATCAGCGCAAGATATGCTCAATATGAAAACCATGCGCATTGTTGACAGCACAAAGGCGTACAAGCATGTTATTCAGCACGCTACTCAGCAATTCACCGTCAATTTCACGGACGCAGTCCGTTATTGCTTGCTTCAATTCAGGGATTGACCGGGAAACTCTTAAACACTTTTTTCTTTTAGGTATCCCCAAAGGAAAAAGTCACAAGGGATTGATGTGGGGTTGGTTGGGGGCCATGACAAACCATTGTTGAACATGTGCGGATACTGGTTCGAGATGACGCGCTCATGAAATTTTTCGTGAAGACAGAACATCCTGCATTGTATGCGGACGAACACCATCCTACTGGAACCACTGTCTGCTTAGGCACAGCCGTCGTCAACTCAGCTCGGGCAGAACAAATGTTTGCAGCATGTTCAGGTAATTCTCAGAGGTTACAAAACGGTCGAATAAGTACGCCCCGATTATCCCTTGTTTGACAATGCACACCACACCAAGTCTTTCTCGGGATGCAGGGATATCTCGAGGATTTCTTGATGTTTCCCTGGCCCAAAATCTCGAGTTTTGCCGATTGACAACTCCTGTGAGATGAAAGTACGCCTCATCGCTTCACCACAACAAATGGACAGATGGATTCTTCTCAAGCATTTGTCCTTATTCAATAAAGAATTCCCTTCTCTTCTCCTTCGATTTAAGAGTCAGCTGTCGTGGCACGTGGATTTTGTAAGGAAACTGAAGGACTTTTCTCATCACACACCAAACCGTTGTCAACGGCACATCAGCTTCCATTGACAGCCGTCGCAAGGAATTTTTCTCCAGGCTGTTCATTACTCTACGGCGAATGTCCTCAACAACTGCTGCAGTTCGTTTGCGTTGGTGACTACCGCCCTTAGGCTTACCAATAACACTTCCAGTTTCACGGATTTGTTGGACGAATCGACTAATTGCCCTTCTGCCTGGTGCATGAGAACACTTGAATTCCTTGCGAAAACGCCTTTGCACGGTGATTGGATATTTGCACTCTAAAAATCACTCCACAAATTTCACTTTCTGCGCAAGTGTTAATGGGTTGTTCGCCATGTTGATGATGGGAATGACGTCAAGTTTTGGCTGACAACTGCAGAGATAACAATCTTTTAAATGTGCTCTATTTAATGTTAGGAGAGTCGTCATGATAGCTTTTATACTTTAGGAGTTATATTATTTTAAATGGTGACTGAAACACCCTGTATATTAACAGGAAATTTAGACGTTGTCACATTTACAAGAAAAGGGAAATTTGTCATGTTGCTTTTCATTCAATGCCATGTACCACGTAGAGACAGGCGACAGGAACGTTGACCCAGGAACTCCTGGAATTTTTTTTTAAGTGATACATTGAAAGATAGACGAATAGTAAAAAAATATTTTTGGCAGGATGCATGGGACACCCCTGACGGCACCAGCTGATCCAGGCCCCCTTACTTTGGAAAAATTATTTCGGAGTCAAGTCTTGACGCCACCTCCGAAAATTGTGGCGAAAACCAGCATGAGCATATGCCGAAAAGTGGAAGTGACAGTTCCTCCACTTGGTACTGTCCCCCCACGTTTGCGTACTCCACTTACGACATGGTAGGTGAAGATTCGTTCTTCAAAAGTAACTTAGCTGAAGTGTTCCCATAGCCGGCGTTCATTTGAAGTTGGTGATTTTCATGTATTCTGAGAGGAACGGAGCCATGGGGAAAGCACCTTGCGAATGAATGAGCGAGGAAATGTGATTTTGGGACTTGACCGAAAGCTGAATACTTGGTTTGCTACCTTATTGGTGTGCGGAGAGTTGCTAGTCTCGGTCATCACAGATTCAGAAGCAAGGTAAGTCCATCTTTCTTCCTTCGCATTGTCACACTCAATGAGAGAGAGATGCGAAAGACTTCACCATTTTGCTCTCACGCATGAATATGATTACAAAACCCGGATTCAACGGAATTGACAGGGGTTTTCAAGCATTGTAGGACTGCGTCTTGCACGGTTGGAAAAAAATTAGCCAGCGGCACGATGTCGAAGAATTCCGTTCTTCGGAACATCTTCATCTGTGGTTCTGAAAAGGAAGTATTTTCAATAAGCCACGAAAGTTAAAGCATCTGAGTGAATGAATATGCAGAAACAGGTATGACTGGGTCCCGGGTTTTTTGCATGAGAGAACAACCATCTCGCCAGTAGTCGGGACCGTTTCACATTTTACTGCACTATCGTCATGCATGAATGAAATAAATACAGAAATGCAGAACCTGATAGCAACCTTCTCCTATCTAAACAACAGAATTCCTCTGAAAGTTGAAAAATTGCAATACGACTTATCGACACCGAAAGTATCGGGTTTTCAATTTTTAAGTTGCATTTACCCAGATTCATGAATTCTTATCTCCCCAGTATTGAAACAGTTCTAAAAATTGCTATGTAAATCAACCTTCATGCTAGTCAAGTCCAGAATACTTGCACCTGACAGCAAATATTAGTGAGAAAAGGCACAAATACACAAATACTGGTTGGAGCGCGCTCTTCATAAAAGAGCAAAAGAATGTCGGCTATCTTCACCAGATGAGGATCTTTGAAAACCTCCAAGGGTATATAAAATTTAGATGAGAAAATGCATGATGGAAGGGGAGATTAATAACGCGATAGGGAATTTGATCAATCGGTTGAAATGAGACACTTTTTTTTATTAGAGATTCTGCACTGATGCGCAAAAGCGTCCCGGTAATGTTGATGAATAACATTGCAAGGTGGTCAAAAAACGCAGGAAAATGCCATTAAGACGGTCATCAATACCACTTCTAATGCTGTTTCCATCAATGGTTTGAAATGGTTGTTCATGACTTGAACCTCCGCCGAGAATGTCTACCTGGGATTTTTTTGTAATCCTCAACAATTGGAACTATTCAAGATTTATTTTACCTTAGGATGGGCCTTCGGGAAAATATATCAATGAATTTTTTATTTCTAAAACCATTATAATAGGTAATTGTGCAATGTAATGTCCTTTACAAGGACATTCCTTCAATGAAGTCAATGTACTCTGCAAGTGCCTATCTAATGTGTGTCATTTTGGTAGAGTTCCAGAGACCAGACATATGGAAATGTGCATAATTCCGTCATGTATTCTAGGGTTAATCATACAAATCATGATGTACCAGGACAGCATGTCCACAAAATCTCTCATTTATTAATCTCGGATCATTTATTCCTATAAAAGTGAGATAGCCACACTATGAGGTACGAATGGTCATTATCCCTTTCAGGGGATGTCAGAATCTACTTGAATTCAGGTGGTTCATCAAATAATTATTCCTGCGTCCTACTGGCTAGAATTATCTGGAATTTCCTTTGCCTTGGCGTTTTCCTTTCACGAATGTATTTTTTTTTAAATCGTCCTTCTCCACATTTCCTGAGGGAAAAGCTCCGGT